GAGTGAGTTGTTTTTTGTTTTTGTTTTGTTTTGTTTTTGAGACAGGGTCTCACTCTGTCACCAGGCTGGAATGCAGTGGCACGATATCAGCTCACTGCAACCTCCAACTCCCGGGTTCAAGCGATTCTCCTGCCTCAGTCTCCTGAGTAGATGGGACTACAGGTGCATGCCACCACAACTGGCTAATTTTTCTATTTTTAGTAGAGATGGGGTTTCACTGTGTTGGCCAGGACGGTCTCAATCTCCTGGCCTCGTGATCCACCAGCCTCAACCTCCCAAAGTGCTGGGATTATAGGCGTGAGCCACCACACCCAGCCTTTGAGTGAGTTTCTTAATCCTGAGTTCTAATTTGATTGCACTGTGGTCTGAGAGGCTGTTATGATTTCAGTTCTTTTGCATTTGCTGAGAACCGCCTGCCTTGGCCTCCTAACATGCTGGGATTACAGGTGTAAGCCCCCGTGTCTGACCTGAAAATTCTTTTCTTTAAGAATGTTGTGTGTTGGCCCCCCCTCTCTTCTGGCTTGTAGGGCTTCTTCTGAAAGATCTGCTGTTAGCTTTATGGGCTTCCCTTTGTAGGTGACCTGGCCTTTCTCTCTGGCTGCCCTTAACATTTTTTCCTTTATTTCAACCTTGGAGAATCTGATGATTATGTGTCTTGGGTTGATTTTCTCATGGAGTATCTTAGTGGGGTTCTCTGCATTTCCTGAATTTGAATGTTGATCTGTCTTGCTAGGTTGAGGAAGTTCTCCTGGATAATGTCCTGAAGTGTTTTCCAACTTGGTTCCATTCTCCCTGTCTCTCTCAGATATCCAATCAGTCATAGATCTTTTTACATAGTCCCATATTTCTCGGAGGTTTTATTCATTCCTTTTCATTCTTTTTTCTCTAATCTTGTCTGCCTACCTTATTTCAGCAAGATAGTATTCCATCTCTGATATTCTTTCTTCCACTTGATTGATTTGGCTGTTGATACTTGTGTGTGCTTCACGTGCTCTCGTGCTAGGTTTTTCAGTTCCATGAGGTCATTTACGTTCCTCTGTAAACATATTCTAGTTAGCAGCTCCTGCATCCTTTTATCAAGGTTCTTAGCTTCTTTGCATTGGGGTAGAACATTCTCCTTTACCTAAGCAAAATTTGTTATTACCGACCTTCCGAAGCCTACTTCTGCCAATTCATCCATCTCATCGTCCGTCCAGTTCTGCGCCCTTGCTGAACAGGTGCTGCAGTCACTTGGAGGAGAAAAGGCACTCTGGCCTTTTGGGTTTTCAGTGTTGTTGTTGTTGTTGTTGATTCTTTCTCAACTTCATGAGTTTGTCGCATTTAGATCTTTGAGGCTGCTGACCTTTGGATAAGGTTTTTGTGGGGCTTCTTTTTTGTCGATGCTGTTGTCGTTGCGTTCTGTTTGTTTTTCTGTCAGTAGTCAGGTCCCTCTTCCGTAGGGCTGCTGCAGTTTGCGGGGTTTCACTTCAGGCCGTATTCATCTGGTTCGCTCTCCTGCTCCTGAAGATGTCACTTGAGGAGGCTGGAAAACAGTAAAGATGGGTGTCTCCTCCTTCCTCTGGGATCTCTGACCTTGAGGGGCACTGAGCTGATGCCAGTAGAAACACTCCCGTACAGGGTGTCTGACAACTCCTGCTGGGGGCTCTCACCCAGTGGGGTAGCACAGGAAGCAGCACCCATTTGACCATGCGCTTTGGCTGTGCCTTGGTGGAGGGGTGTGCTGTGCTGGAACCTACTCATCTGGGCTGCCCAGCTTCCCTAGAGGTAGCAGGAGGGAAGACTAAATCTGCTGGTCCACGGAGACTGTGGCTGTCTTTTTTTTTTTTTTTTGAGAGAGAGTTTCACTGTTGTTGCCTAGGCTGGAGTGCTGGAGTGCAATGGTGTGATCTTGGCTCGCTGCAACCTCCGCCTCCTGGGTTCAAGCAATTCTCCTGCCTCGGCCTCCCAAGTAGCTGGGCATGTGCCACTATGCCCGGCTAATTTTTTGTATTTTTAGTAGAGACAGAGTTTCTCCAAGTTGGTCAGGCTGGTCTTGAACTCCTGACCTCAGGTGAGCCGCCTGCTTCAACCTCCCAAAGTGCTGGAATTACAGGCGTGAGCTACCGCACCCAGCGAGAGTGTCGTAATCTTTATTGCAGGGTCTTTTCTTCAAGCTTTCCTCCAGGCAAGTCTCTAAACCACTGACCTGGAGCAGGTTTTATTGACCAGACCTGACCCTGGGGCTCATACAGCAGCGATGTTAACTGGCCGCCCTGATGCAGGCTGTGCTGTGAGCCTGAACGTTTCCTTCCCTACAGGTACCATTTAGTCTCCACGGCAGGGACGCTGCCTTCATCTTCTTCTACCTCTTAGGCTGTTTTAAGGAGAGGAGTATTTGGCAACTTGAGCAAGAAAGACTGGCCACTTCAAATCACATCAAATATATGAAAACTCAATTTTATTTCTAAATTCCTTGAAAACAGATTGATGACACCTTTTCATTTGAAAAGGACATCTACATTACAGGATTTTAAAAACAACTACTTTATGTCATTGACAAATTTACTTTTGAGGTCCTGAAGGTGTACAACACAGCCCTCAACCAGATGGCTGGTAACTCTGCAGAATATCAACCTTATTTCCACTCTGGGTGTTTTGAGTTTAATTACCAAATATCTTCTTCTGATTAAGAGTTTTAAGTCCGCCTACTGTCGCCGTGGAGGAAACAGCTCTGTTCAAAGAAGGAGCAGTGCCTTAGCCTTGATGTTCATATTCCTTAATGGAATACCTCTTCATTCATGGAAAAAAGGTTTTCAATAAATAACAAAATACCACAAAATTGTTGAAGCTGAGTTTATTGTTGTATCATAATAACTGTATAGGAAAAAGTTTTAGCATCAACGTAAGAAATGGCATTGTTATGGGGCTTTTTTTTTTGAAACATGGCCTGACTTTGTTGCCCAGGCTGGAGTGCAGTAGCGCGAACTCAGCTCACTGCGTCCTCCGCCTCCTGGGCTCAAGCCATCCTCCCGCCTCAGCCTCCCTAGTGGCTGGGACCACAGGCACGAGCCACTGTTGTATATTTTTTTGGTAGAGATGGGGTTTCATCATGTTGCCTAGGCTAGTCTCAAACTTTGGGACTCAGGCGGGCCACTCACCTCAGCCTCCAATCGTGCTGAGGTTACAGGATTGAGCCACCACACCCAGCCAGCTCTGTTGTTTTTTAATAAACATTTTACTGTTTGTGGACAAACTTCACAAAAAGCTAAAAATTTGTGTGGAAAAACTTCAATACAAACTGCCCAATCTAATGTAAAATATAAAATGAAACTAGATTGTTATCAATGAATCTCTATTGTGCCTATCTCCTTATCAATGTGCCTAGACTCTTGTTCAGACCACCTGGCAAAAGGGCCACCTTCTGACTTTCACAGGCCCTACACACTTATATCTTCCTGGGCCCCTCCCTCTGTAAAAGAAAAACATTAAAAATCATGCTATGACTGCAAAGACTATCAATCAAGGCTGAATTCATTATTACTTGGATTTTTTTTTTCTTGTAATTGTAAAAGAAATTAACATGAAAACATTTTCTGGTCTCTAAAAAGTACCGGGAGTCACCATCCCTGTGGCCTCTGGGCCTCACCATTCCATCAGCCCTGCTGGCCATGACGAAGCAGGGCACCCTGAGAAGCCGCTCCCCAATGCTTGTCCTGAGCTCAGCCACCATCCTCCCCACGTGATTTTGAAAACAGAACAGAATTCACTCTTACTTCAGTTAAAAAGAAAAAGGGATGCAGGAAGAAGTTCTGGATTGTAAGTAGAGGGACCTGCAAAGACCATCCACGGGGAAAGCAAAATGAAAGAAAAATAATTACATGTGTGAATATAAGGCAGGGACTCTTCTGCCCCACCTCCCCCCACCAAAAATACCATTATTCCAGAGAAGAGGGAGTGTCCCTTTCACTTGGGTCTTCATAAATTCTCTTCCATAACTGGGCACGCGCTCTCCATTACTTTCTGCAGAATGAACAAGCCTGTTTGAGCAAATGCCAATAGGGTATGGATTCAGGCAGGCGGCACGTTCACATGCACAAGCTCACGGCCTTTCCCTCTCTGTCCTGCTGGGGCGGCAATGTTCCTGGGCTTTTCAGGTGGGAAACAGGAGGGGAAAAAGAGAATCACAAGTGAAAAATGTGAGAGGATGGGATTAGGAGATGGGTTGGGAAGAAAAATTGACAGGAGTGAGTACAAGACTAAGGAGAAGAAAGGATGACGATGAAAAAGGAATCAGGCTACTCATCTACTGGGCAGTGTTTGAAAAATATGTGTATAGGACATGAGGGTAATTTCATTTTTTTAAATGCATGATATGTGCGTATTTTAGTTAAACATTTTTGTGAGACTGAGACACATGAATCTTCACTTTTAAGCTTCATAAGTGGAAAGTACAAGGTGCACTCAATCAGTAATTCCATTATAGTTCTTCCAGAATAGGCTGGAAATGGTGTGCCTCTAATCCCAGAACTTTGGGAGGCTGAGGCGGGAGGATTCCTTGAGCCCTGGAGTTCAAGACCAACCTGGGCAACATAGCAAGACCTCATCTCTACAAAAAAAGGATTAGCTACGCATGATGGCACATGCTTGTGGTCCTAGCTACTTGGGAGGCTGAGCTGTGAGGACTGCTCGAGTCCATAGGTCAAGGCTGCAGTGAGCCCTGAGTACGCCACTGCACTTCAGCCTGGGTGGCAGAGCAAGATCCTATCTCAAAAAAACAAAACAAAACAAAATCTTTGGAGGCAAACATAATGGAGGCAAAATGTTGGCACATGTTATTTATTGCAATATTCATTATCAGTAGGTGCCTGCATATGCAGGCAAAATTCTTAGCTATGGTTAAGTAAATAAATGTTTATATTCATCATTTTGTCACCTGGTGACACGGAGTGCTTCCGGTAAAAAATAGTTGTGTAATAAAACCTTCAATTTCACTGAGCTTAGACTCTCATCTCATGAAGTTTTTCTGTCTTCTGTTCAAACGAATGACAGCACTGCTTCCCTCGTCCTTTTCAGGTAGACGCAGTTCTACAAAGAGCAATCCTTACCAGACCTCTCTTTCAGGTGAAGCAACCTCCTCACCCCATTCCAGTGTGAGAAACACATTCTTGATGACATCACAGGTGCCAAAAATGACAACATCCGCAGACTCCACTCCAGGAACCAAAGAAGAAACATCAACAATTGGAAGTAAAAACACTGCCCTAGTCACCTCAGCAGGCTCAGTAACAGCTACACTAGAGGGACAATCAACAGCAACTTCTTTGAGAACCTCCAATCAGGAAATATCAGCTTCATCTCAGAACCACCAGACTCATGGCACGGAGACCACCAGGGAAGCTCAAACCACCACCGTTACCCAGATGTCCACATCACCTCTTTCATCCCCCCCAAGTGTACACAATGTGACAGCAACTGTTTCTCAGGAGACAGCACCTCCAGGCGAAAAAATCACCTCATCCCCTGCCAGTGTCACCAACACGTCCATGACGACACCAAAGGTGACAAGCTTCAGAGACTCCACTCTTGGAAACATAGGGGAGACAACAACACCTGTTACTGAAAGTCTCAGGCCAGTCACTTCAGCAGGCTCAGTAACAGGTGAGTCAGAAGGACAATCAGCAGAAGCTTCCTCAAGGTCTTCTATCCAGGGCACAACAGCTTTTTCTCAGAACCAGCAGACTCAGAGCACAGAGACCACCAGAGAATCTCAAACCAGTACCCTCACACAGATGATTACATCAACTCTTTCCTCCTCCCCAAGAGTACACAACGTGACAGGGACTGTTGCTCAGGAGACATCCCCTCCAGCTGAAAAAACCACCTCATCTCTTTTCAGTGTCAGCAACACACCCATGATATCGAAGACTAGAACAATGACAGCCTTTACAGAGTCCACTTTTAATAACACTGAGGAGACATCAACACCTGCAACTGAAAGTCCTACTCCAGTCCCCTCAGCAGCCTCTGTAACAGCTGAGCCAGAAGGACAATCAACAGCAGTTTCCTCAAAGACCTCTGCCCGGGATATATCAGCCTTTTCTCAGAACCGCCAGACTCAGAGCATGGAGACCACCAGAGAAGCTCAAACAAGCATGGTCACGCAAATGTCCACATTAACTCTTTCGTCCTTTCCGAGTGTACACAACGTGGCAGGGGCTGTTTCTCAGGAGACATTCCCTTCAGGTGAAACAACCACCTCATCTTCTTCCAGTGTCAGCAACACACCCATAATGACATCAAAGACTAGAACAATGACAGCTTTTACAGATCCCACTTTTAACAACACCAAGGAGACATCAGCACCTGGAAGTGTAAGTTCTACCCCAGTCCCCTCAGCAGCCTCAATAACAGCTGAGCCAGAAGGACAATCCACAGCAACTGCTTCAAGGACCTCTACTCTGGACACAGCAGCATTTTCTCAGAACCACCAGACTCAGGGCATGGAAACCACCAGAGAAGCTCAAACCAGTACCCTCACACAGAGAACTACATCAACTCCTTCCTTTTCCCCAAGTGTACTGAATGTGACAGACACTGTTTCTCAGGAGACATCCCCTCCAGATGAAAAGACCACCTCATTCCCCTTCAGTGTCAGCAACACACCCATATTGACATCAAAGATTATAACAAGGACAACCTTTGCAGAGTCCACTTTTAATAATACTGAGGAGACAATGCCTGTTACTGAAGGTCGTCAGCCAGTCACTTCAGCAGTCTCAATAACAGGTGAGCCAAAAGGACAATCACCAGAAAATTCCTCAAGATCCGCTATCCAGGGCACAACAGCTTTTTCTCAGAACCACCAGACTCAGAGCCTGGAGACAACCAGAGAATCTCTAACCACCACCCTCACACAGATGCCCATATCCACTCTTTTTTACTCCCCAAGAGTACATAATGCAACATGGGCTGTTTCTCAGGAGACATCTACTCCAGGGGAAACAACAACCTCATCACCCCCCAGTCTCAGCAACGCACCTGTGATGACATCAGAGGATATAACAATGACAACCTCCACAGACTCCACCCTTGGAAACACAGGGGAGACATCAACACCACTTACTGGAAGTTCTATGCCAGTCACCTCAGCAGTCTCAATAACAACTGAGCCAGAAGGACAATCATCAGCAACTTCCTTAAGGACCTCTACTCGGGACACATCAGCTTCTTCTCAGAACCACCAGTCTCAGGGCACGGAGACCACCAGAGACGCTCACACCAGCACCCTCTCACAGAGAACCATGTCAACTCTTTCCTCTTCCCCAAGTGTACTGAATGTGACAGACACTGTTTCTCAGGAGACATCCCCTACAGAAGAAATGACCACCTCATTCCCCTCTAGTGTCAGCAACACACCCATAATGAAATCAAAGACTGTAACAGTGACAACCCTTGCAGAGTCCACTTCTAATATCACTGAGGAGACACCAACCCCTGGAACTAGAAGTCCTACTCCAGTCCCCTCAGCAGCCTCCATAGCAGCTGAGCCGGAAGGACAATCCACAGCGGCTTCCTTGAGGACCTCTATCTGGGACACATCAGCCTCTTCTCAGAACTACCAGAGTCAGAGCACAGAGACCACCAGGGAATCTCACACTAGCATCCTCACACAGATGATCACATCAACTCCTTCCTTCTCCCCAAGTGTACACAATGTGACAGGGACTGTTTCTCAGGACACATCTCCTCCAGGTGAAATGGCTACCTCATCCCTCTCTAGTGTCACGAACACACCCATGATGATATCAAAGACTATAACAATGACAACCTTCACAAACTCAACTCTTGGAAACACAACAGAGACATCAACACGACTTACCGAAACTCTTATGCCAGTCACCTCAGCATCCTCAATAACAGCTGAGCCAGGACAGTCACTAACAACTTCCTCAAGGACCTTTAACCAGGACACAACAGGTTTTTCTCAGAACCACCAGAACCAAAACATGGAGACCACCAGAGATGCTCCAGCCAGCACCCTCCCACAGAGAACCACACCAACTCCTTCCTCCTCCACAGGTGTATATAATGTGGCAGGAACTGTTGCAGAGGAGACATCCCTGTCAGGTGAAAAAACCACCTCATCTTCCTCCAGTGTCAGCAACACATCCATGATGACATCAAAGGTTATGACAATGACAACCTTTACAGAGTCCACTCCTAAAAACACTGAGGAGACAGCAACACCTGGAACTAAAAGGCCTACCACAGTCACCTCAGCAGCCTCGTTAACAGCTGAGCCAGAAGGACAATCCACAGCAGCTTCATCAAGGACCTCTACCTCGGACACAGCAGATTCTTCTCAGAACCACCAGACTCAGAGCACGGAGACCACCAGAGAAGCTCAAATCAGCACCCTCCCACAGATGTCCACATCAGCTCTTTCATCCTCCCCAAGTGCACACAATGTGACCACAACAGCTTCTCAGGACACATCTCCTCCAGGTGAAACAACTGCCTCATTCCTCTCTAGTGTCACAATGACATCAAAGATGATAACAATGACAACCTCTACAGACTCCACTGTTGGAAACACAGTGGAGACATCAACACCACTTACTGGAAATCTTATGCCAGTCACCTCATCATCCTCAATAACAGCTGAGCCAGAAGGACAATCACCAGCAACTTCCTCCAGGACCTCGGCCTCGGACACTGCAGGTGTTTCTCAGAACCATCAGAGTCAGAGCACGGAGACCACCATAGCATCTGATACCGACACCCTCACACAGAGGCCTACGTCAAGTCTTTCCTCCTCCCCAGGTGTACTCAATGTGACGGAGACTGTGTCTTGGGAGACATCCTCTCCAGATGAAACGACTACCTCATTCCCCTCCAGTGTCAGCAGCACACTCATGATGACATCAGCAATGCCATCCTCCACAGACTCTACTCTTAAAAGTACAGAGGAGACATCAACACCTGGAACTAAAAGTTCTACCTCAGTGAACTCAGCAGTCTCAATAACCGCTGAACCAGAAGGACAATCACAAACAACTTCTTCAAGGAACTCTATCCAGGACACATCAGCTTCCTCTCAGAACCACCAGATTCAGAGCACAGAGACCACCAGAGAGTCTCAAACCAACACCTTCACACAGATGTCCACATCAACTGTTTCATCCTCCCCAAGTGTACACAATGTGACCACAACAGTTTCTCAGGATACATTTCCTCCAGATGAAAAGACTGCCTCATTCCTCTCTAGTGTCACGGACACATCCATGATGACATCAAAGGTTATAACAATGGCAACCTCCACAGACACCACTCGCGGAAACACCGCGGAGCTACCAACACCACTTACTGGAAATATGCCGGTCACCTCATCATCCTCAATAACAGCTGAGCCAGAAGGACAATCACCAGCAACTTCCTCAAGGATGTCTACCCAGGACACAACAGCTTTTTCTCAGAACCACCAGACTCAGAGCATGGAGACCACCAGAGATGCTCAAACCAGCACCCTCCCGCAGAGAACCACATCAACTCTTTCCTCCTCTACAAGTGAACTCAATGTGACAGAGGTTGTGTCTTGGGAGACATCTCATCCAGATGAAATGACCACCTCAGTCCCCTCCAGTGTCACCAACACACCCATGATGACATTCAAGACCATAACAATGACAACCTCCACAGACTCGACTCTTGGAAACACAGAGGAGTCATCAATACCTGGAACTGAAAGTCCTGCCCCAGTCACCTCAGCAGCCTCAATAACGGCTGAAGCAGAAGGACAATCAATAGCAAGTTCGTCAAAGGCCTCTACTCAGGACATGTCAGCATTTTCTCAGAATCATCAGACTCAGAGCATGGACACCACCAGAGAATCTCAAACCGCGACTGTCACAGGAGTGGTGACATCAGCTCCTTTAACCTCAGCACGTAGACACACTCTGACAGGAAGCTTCTCTCAGGAGACAGCCCATCCAGATGAAATGACCACCTCATCCCTCTCTAGTTTCAGCCACACACCAATGATGACACCAAAAGTTATGACAAGGACAGCCTCCACAGACTCCACTCTTGGAAACACAGGGGAGACATCCGTACTCGTTACAGGAAGTCTTATGCCCGTCACCTCAGTAGCCTCAATACCAGTTGAACCAGAAGGAGAATCACCTGCAACTTCCTCGAGGACTTCTACCCAGGACACAGCAGCTTTTCCTCAGAACCAGCAGACTCAGAGCATGGGGACCACCAGAGTACCTCAGATCAACACCCTCACACTGGTTGCATCAACCGTTTTATCCTCACCAAGTGGACTCAATCTGAGTGGAACAGTTTCTCAGGAGACACTCCCTTCTGGTGCAACAACCACCTCATCCCCTTCCAGTGTCAGCAACACATTCCCGGCAACCTCAGAGGTGTTCAGAATGCCAACCTCCACAGATTCTACTCTTGGAAACACAGAGGAGACATCACTATCTGTAAGTGGAACCATTTCTGCCATCACTTCTAAAGTTTCGACCATATGGTGGTCAGACACACTGTCAACAGCACTCTCCCCCAGTTCTTTACCTCCAAAACTATCCACAGCTTTTCACACACACCCGAGTGAGGGTGCAGAGACCACAGGACGGCCCCATGAAAGGAACTCATTCTCTCCAAGGGCATCTCATGAGACATTTACTCCGCATGAAACAACATTGACTTCTTCATTCTCCAGTGAAGGCCACACAACTTGGTTACCAAAAGAGCTGCCTTCAACACCAACAAGTGCTGCCACTATGCTTGTCACAGCAAGTACCACTACGTGGACAGCTGGCGGTATTCCAGGAGTCCCTTCTGAGGTCTCAACAATCGGGGAACCAGGACAGCCCAGCACACGCCCCTCCCATAGTACAACTCTCCCAGAAACAACAGGGGCAGGTGCCCAGACACAATGGACAAAAGAAACGGGGACCACTGGAGAGGTTCTTGTCCACAGCCCAAAATACAGCGTGACCCAGATGACAAAAGCAGCCACATCCGCATCTTCCTCACCTATGCTGGATGGACACACACCACAACAAATTACAATGGCACCATCAACATATCATTCAACAACACATCCCGTAAACACCTCTCCTCAGAGATCATCGGCTGTTTCCCAGGGAGGTCACACTCCAGCCTCGAAGACCACACGAGAATCCCAAGCCACGAGGTCCATCTCCCCCTTGACTGACAGCCTCAAGACAGCCACCACCCCAGCTTCTTCCTTCACAGCCAGCGGACACTCGCCCTCAGAAACTGTTCCTCAGGACGCATCCACCGTAAGTGCCGCAACAACCTTCACCCCAGCCCCCACCAGGGTTGGGCACACAGCCCAGGCCCCAACCACAGCACTGCAGGCGGCACCCAGCAGCCCTGGCGCCACCCTGGGGCCCTCAGGAGGCACATCATTTTCCATCACAGGTGCCATTCCTCCGGCCACCTCTGTGGTGTCAACACCAGTGGGCGCAGAAGGACGATGGACATCAGCCTCTGCCAGCACGTCACCCAACACAGTACCAGCTGTCACCCAAACCCACCAGGCTCGGAGCACAGAGGCCTCTGGAGAAACACAGACCAGCCAGCCGGCCTCCTCAGGGTCAGGTACCATCGCAGCGGGCACAGCTACCCCTTCCTCATCCAGGACGAGTGGCACAACACCTTCAGGAAGCCACGGAATGTCCACCTCAGGCGAGAGCACGCCGCTCTCACCAAGACCCTCCAGGGACACTCACACCCCCCAGTCAACAAGCGAATTGCAGTCCGCCTCAGCCAGTCCTGACGTCACCCCAGGAACGGGGTCCCCATCAGCCAGTCCTGACGTCACCCCAGGAACGGGGTCCCCCTCAGCCAGTCCTGACGCCACCCCAGGAACGGGGTCCCCCTCAGCCAGTCCTGACGCCACCCCAGGAACGGGGTCCCCATCAGCCAGTCCTGACGCCACCCCAGGAACGGGGTCCCCCTCAGCCAGTCCTGACGCCACCTCGGCAAGCGCGGGAACAGGGTCCCCCTCAGCCAGTCCTGACGTCACCCCAGGAACAGGGTCCCCGTCAGCCAGTCCTGACGTCACCCCAGGAACGGGGTCCCCCTCAGCCAGTCCTGACGTCACCCCAGGAACGGGGTCCCCATCAGCCAGTCCTGATGCCACCCCAGGAACGGGGTCCCCCTCAGCCAGTCCTGACATCACCCCGGCAAGCGCGGGGATGGGGTCCGCCATGGTCCCCTCTTCCCCCGCCCTGTCCCAGGTCCCCACCGCAGGGGCACCGCCAGGACAGGCCGGCCCCGCCTCCCCCAGCCCCCCTCCTCGGGAGACGTCCGCCGTTTCCCAGGCGGCGCGGACTCAGGGGACAGGGGCCGGCCGAGGGTCTGACTCCGTCGGCTTGGCGTCCCCGGCGACCCCTGGCACCCTGCGCCATGTCGCGTCTCCTGCTCCCTCCACCGTGGTCTCCAGCAGGCAGGGCCCTTCGGCCACAAGCCAGAGCTGGGTCGTCCACGAGACCGCAGGGGCGGCGGTCCTGACCCCGGTCCACACCGGCCACGACGCCCTGACTGTGGCCACTGGGGCACCCGCATCCTCTGTGGGTGTGTCAGGCAGGCCCAGCTCTGAACACCCTCCAGCCGCTCAAGGGGCGTCCCCCGCGACTAACCCCACCCCCAGGTCCACGCATAGGAGCTCCACACCCAAGTACAGCGACGCAGCAGGTGCCACGCCGACGCCCTCTATGTCCTCGGTCGACAGCACCCTGGAAGCTTCCGCAGCATCACAGCACCCCGAGGGTGCGTCTCCCGCTCCACCAGCATCTCAGCACCCCGAGAGCTCATCTCCCCCTCCACCACCTCAGCACCCTGAGGGCTCATCTCCCACTCCACCACCATCTCAGCACCCGGAGGACGCATCTCCCACTCCACTGCCATCTCAGCACCCCGAGAGCGCGCCTCCCACTCCACCAGCATCTCAGCACCCCGAGAGCGCGTCTCCCCCTCCACCAGCATCTCAGCACCCTGAGGGCGCATCTCCCACTCCACCACCATCTCAGCACCCCGAGGGCGCGTCTCCCCCTCCACCACCATCTCAGCACCCCGAGGGCGCGTCTCCCACTCCACCGCCATCTGGAGACGCGGCTCCCTCCCGTCACACAAGCCCCGCGCGGACCACACTGAGTTTCTCTACCTCCCGCAGCCACTCCGCATTCTCTCCAGCATCCCCTGGCCCTGCTGCCATGCCCAGCTCCACCAGGCGCTTCACAGGCCACGCCACCCCGCCTCCTGCCACCAGTACCTCCTCGGCATCCACAGCGTCCCCAGGCCCAGCTCTGAAGACGGAAACACCTGGTAGCTGCCCCCTTCCTTGCCTTCGTCTCTCCCAGTGACCTCCTCGGTTCAGTTGAGCCTGAGGAGTGCTTGAGAGCACTGGTGAATTACCTGGTGGGGCTGCGTTAGGTCCCACAGCACAGGAGGCGATGGGTGTGGTGGGTGACAGGCCACCCTCCTCCCTGCCCCTGTAGAAAACTGCTTATGTCACAGGCCAGGCGTGGTGGCTCATGCCTGTAATCCCAGCACTTTGGGAGGCCAAGGTGGGTGGATCACTAGATCAGGAGTTCAAGACCAACCTGGCCAACACGGTGAAACCCCATCTTTACTAAAGACAAAAAATTCGCTGGGCATGGTGGCTCCTGCCTGTAATCCCAGCTCCTCAGGAGGCTGAGGCAGGAGAATTGCTTGAACCCGGAAGGCAGAGGGTACAGTGAGCAGAAATCGCGCCATTGCACTCCAGCCTGGGATACAGGGCAAGACTCCGTCTCAAAGAAAGAAAAACCTCTTATGTGGGGAGTGGTTTGGATATGACCAGTAGGTAGATAGACAAGGAGGCGTCTAGCTTTCTCTTCCAGCTCCTGATTTCCTTGAATCTCTCTGACTCTGCGGTTCTCTTACTGTAAGAACCACCCCGCTTTCTCTGTCCCCATGTCCAGGAATGACGACAGCCTCCCTGAAGACAGACCGTGGGAGAAGCACAGCCGCATCACTGCCCCCAGCGGCCTCCCGAACCATCACCTCCGCCATTCCCAACACATCCACAGCTGCCCCCGACCCCATCCCGTCTGAGAAAGGTGAGTCATGCTGTAGGGGTGTGCCCCACGCCTTTTGAGGGGTGACATAACTAAAGGTTCCTTCTCAGCCTGCGGGCCCATGGTCTCTGTTCTCTTGGGTGGAAGGGCCTCACCGAGGACGGGGAGACAGCAGCAGAGTCGCTGCTGAGGGCTGGCTTTGTGCATGGAGCTGGAGAAGAGAAATGAGCCCAGTGCCATTCAGCAAGGGACAGATCGCTGTCTGGTAGAGGCAGTTAGAGGATTAGTCCCAGGGTATAAGCGCACACAGTGGAAAACGACGCGGACCAGGGGCGGGGAGGAGGGCGGGAACAGCTGGAACAAAGGTGTGGAAGGCATGGCAGTGAAAAGTACTCCCGGTCCTGCATGGGGAGGGGAACCCCAAAGCATTTGGGGTTGCTGAAAATGAGAAGAAGAAGAGCCAAGTGCGGCTGGCATGCGGGAGTCCTGTAGGTAAGGACAGCCAGGGAGGACTCAGTTAATTTGCATTTGACAAATGGCACCCTGTGGCTGGAGCGGTCAGATTTGCAGGGAGTGAGGCCAGGAAAGCCTGCGGGATTCCAAGCAGGACAGGGGAGGGCGCCAAGGACTCAGCAGCTGTGAGAACTGTTCCGGACAAGGTTTCTCAAACTGGAGCCTAAGGACCTCTAGGGCGGCCTAGGCTAAATTCGAGGGGTCTTCGAGTTTCTCTGGAGAAATGCCAGCCTGGGAAACAAGTCTCACTCCCTGAAAAGGACTTGCAGTTGCTCATCTTCACTGCGTTGGACTTTTGTCTTTAACGCTGAAAAGGGTCGGGACTGCTGTGAGAGACTGAGAATCGTTGGCTGGTATCCTGGCAGCAGGACCCGTTTTCCTCCAAGCTGGGGAGGGGTGCCAGGCGCAGGGCAGGGAGTACAATGACGACGTGTGCTCCATGCGGTGGAGAGGGAGCAAGAGCCCTTGACGGCTGGCTGGCAGGGCCTCTGGGGCCGTCGGGACCACAGGGCAGGTGCGGGCAGCGTGGCGGGGTCTCTGGGACCCTGCCCAGCCCTAAAGAAGGCCCAGGCCCACTTGGACTTCCTGCTCTTCTTTGTCCTGGCCCAGGAGTTTCCCTCCTCCCCTACGGGTTGGGCGCTGGGGACCTGGAGCTCGTCAGGAGGACTGTGGACTTCACCTCCCCACTCTTCAAGCCCCTGACTGGCTTTCCCCTCGGCTCCTCTCTCCGGGATTCCCTCTACGTGAGTTCTCCACTGCGGCCGCGCAGCCTGAGCTCCCTGGGCCCACTTCTCTCTCCAGCTTCACGATGGAGCCCGGGAACTGGGGGTGGAGGCAGCCTTGGCCGGGCTTCTGGTTTAGTGCACCTCCACAGCCTTCTTGATGTCGGGCCTCTAGCCAAGCAACACGGGGTGCCAGGCGAAGGCTGCCCACCTGCACGCCCTGCCCGCAGCTCGCTGCTACTTCTGCGGGGCCTTCTTATAAGTAAAAAAGCTGCACTTGGGAAACTTGACTGTTCCTGTCGTTTCCATGTTCTGTGATTCGTCTCTGGCCCCCCGTCCCTGTCTCCTGGAGCAGAGTTGGAAGGGCAGTCCTGGCTCCTGCACCCCTCAGGGAGGAGGCTGAGAGGAATACACCATCAGAGGGTGACTCAGCGACGGAGAGAGGGCTGCACCCCCCCCAGGGATGAGCGATGGAGCGAGATCTCCACCCCGAGTGATGGAGAGAGAGAGCTCCACCCCTGAGCAATGCAGGCAGAGATCTCTACCCCTTGAGACATGGAGAGACATCTCCACCCCCTGAGTGATGGAGAGAGAAAGAGATCTCCACCCTCTGAGCAATGGGGAGAGAGAGGTCTCCACCCCCTGAGTGATGGAGAGAGATCTCCACCCCGAGTGATGGAGAGAGAGGTCTCCACCCCTGAGCAATGCAGGCAGAGATCTCTACCCCCTGAGAGATGGAGAGAGATCTCTGCCCCCTGAGTGATGGAGAGAAGGATCTCCACCCCATGAATGATGGAGAGAGGTTTCTAACCCCTGAGAGACAGGGAGGGGGTCTCCATCCCCTGAGCCTCACCTGATGTGTCACAAGCTTCAGGATGGGGCCCAGAGGACCGGCCAAGAGAGGTGTGCCTGTGAGGGGCTGGTGCACAGCCAGGGGTCTGCACTGAAGCAGGACCAAGCCCACCGCCTGAGGACCCAAGGGATGGCCCATACGGAAAGGTCTCTCCCGAAGTCAGGAATAGGACATGACTTCCAGAGGTTGTTAGCATCTCTAAAGCTCCACCCAGAGAGGCCCCTGGGGGTCAGCTTCTGAGGAGCTGGGCCAAGGCTGGGCCGTTTCCTCCCCACCTCCCTCCCTGAATGCTCACACAAAACCCTTGTGCTCAGTTCACAGACAACGGCCAGATCATCTTCCCAGAGTCAGACTACCAGATTTTCTCGTACCCAAACCCGCTCCCAACAGGCTTCACAGGCTGGGACCCTGTGGCCCTGGTGGCTCCGTTCTGGGATGACGCTGATTTCTCCAGTGGTCGGGGGACCATATTTTACCGGGTGAGCCTTTCGAAGCCTGGCAGTCAGGATCCCCCGGCAGCTGGCAGGGAAGGCAAAGAGCTGTGTGGAAGGCATTGCCAGAGTTACTGCTGCCACCACCAGGGCCCCTGCCGGCAGGGGACTGAGGCTTAAATACGGGTGTGGAAGGGAGCAGGCAAGGGATATTAAGCTGACTCAGGAACACCCCAACCCCATCAAGAGAAGACCTGCAGGTGTCAGGGATGGGGGCTAACAGTGCAGCATTTGATTGTAAACTAAGGCTGCGGGGTGTCGGTCCTAACAGGAGGGGTCCGGCAGGGCCAATTAGGGGAAGCCTGTGATGAGAGCCACTGCAGCAAGCGTGGACAGGGCAGTGCAGAGGCTCCAAGACGGAGAGAGCCACGCCTGTCCTCAAGCAGCTCAGATGAGGCATGGGAGGGGAAAGGGGGCCCGAGTGGCTGTGCCCTCTGGGACAGTCTGAGCTAAGAGACGCTAGAGTTCAAGTCCAGAGGTCTTGGACGTCGTGGCCAGGACCCTGCACCCCGCACACTGCAGGCCTTCCTGCAGCCCAGGTTTGAATTGAACTTCACTTCAGAAGAGCTCATGGTAAAAATGCAGGCCTGGGACAGGGGAGGGAAGGCCATGTGGGTGGGTCAACGTGGGCAGGATCCCCAGGTAGAAAGAGGGAGCCCATGGGTGGGAGTGGGACCCTCGTTGGCTTGTTCTCATCTGCTCTCCTTTCCCAGGAATACGAGACGCTCTACGGTGAAGCCAGCCCGCTAGTCCTGCAGGCCGAGTCTTGGATTAGAAAGATCACAAACAACGGGGACTACAAGGCCAGGTGGACCCTAAAGGTCACGTGGGTCGGTGCCCATGCCTATCCTGCGCAGTGGAGCCTCGGGGTGAGTAGACCCGTGGACAGCTCCCTGGGAGCCATCTGGGACTCAGACATCCTCGAATTCTAGGCAGGGGCTACTCTTCCAAAGCCCTCTCTGGCTCCAGGAAAGATTGCTGATCATAGCAAGCCCAGCCCACCCGCCCACTGCCACCACCGCTGGCTGAGCCCTCACCGTGGCCTGCCTTGGCCCTTTGCCTGTTTGACCTCCCAGCAAACCAGGTGTTATTAGGTTGAAACATAGCAAGTGGCATTTCTGCAAGTCAAAAATGTCTGGCTATTGGCAATTTCACGTGGCTCAATCTGGTATTATTATCCACATTTTAGGGATGAGGCAGACAATGGTTAGAGAGATTAGTAGCTTGCTCAGTCACGAAGCTACAAATGGCAAAGCCAGGTCTGGAGTGGAGGTTCCTCTGACTCCAGCGTCTGGCTCTTAAGCACAAGGCCATTCAGTTTTGACATGGGGCTCATGGCGCCCTCTCCTCTGTCCTCCCTCTGAGGACCCCACTCTGTAGTCACAAGGTTCTTCCTCATACCTGGTCTAAAGTCACTCATTTCTTCATTCACTCAACAAAAGTTCACTGGTCACCTCCTGTGGACAAGGCGTGTGCCTTCAGCAAACCCCAGTGTCACCTGAGCCGGTCATCCACGCTGTTCAGGTGGAGGGGACGATTTGGGCAATGTCCTTAAATATCCCCCAGGGAGCTAATTAAGTCCTCTCTCAGACTCTCTGGTATCTTGGCTCAGCTCTCGGGTTCTGGCAGCTTTCTCTTACAAACACTGATCCAACTGAATTATAACCCAGAACGCTTTATCTCCCCTCCTGGAGGATAGTCACAAAAAGGCAAATACACCGTGGTAAGTGCTTTCACACCCAGGGTGACGCTGCCCTAACTGACCCAAAACTTGCCAGCCTTTTGGGGCCCATGCCTTTGCCGTGGGCAGACCAGGAACAGGTGATGCGCACGTCAAAGCAGGGCTGTGGGACCGGTGGGAGGATGTAAGAGAGGAGACCCCCGCTCACTCACGGGCACCTGTGTTTGCTTCCACCCACCCCCAGACCAACACCTACCAGGCTGTGCTCTCCACGGACGGGAGCAGGTCCTATGCCCTGTTTCTCTACCAGAGTGGTGGCATGCAGTGGGACGCGGCCCGGCACGCAGGCAGCCCGGTGCTCATGGGCTTCTCCAGGTAGGATGGGGGGGCTGTCTGCACTGAGCGATGGCAGGAGGGGTGCCGAGCGCGGTTTCACTGCACACACATTCCCTCCTGGCTGATGCTTCTGACTCACACTGGCTCCAGCTCCCACTGGGGCCAGGCATCTGGCTGCTTCACATGAAAAGATCACCCATTTGTCCACCATTCCCTTTCCCATCCCAGTCTCCGCCATTGCAATAATTACCAGCGCTCTGGCTTCCCCGATTTCCACTATCAGCTGGCCGCTCTAAACGTCTCAGATGTCACGATAATAACATCCAAGGCTGACTGCACTAACACTTCATGTACGTTGTTCGTTTGATTGTCACGACCACCCTGTGAGACAGATACTATTTATTATCCGCATTCTACTGAGATACAAGTAGACTAGCAATTTGCCTCAAGTCCCAGAGCTGGGAAGTGGCAACGTGGAGGTTTGAGCCCAGACATCTGAGGCTAGAATCTGCCTTCCTAAGAATTACTCACTAACCCAGGGGGCACCCGAAGGCTTAAATGAAGCCGGTGGTGGAGGGAGAGAAGAGGCGGGGGCTGCGGGCGGTTGAAATGCGGATTCCTCCGTCGCGTGGAGGAGGCCGTCTCCGACGTGACAGCGCCCCGCGTCTGTTCCATAAGCTGGTGTGTGGCAATCAGTGTGAAGGTCACATGTCTCTTGTTCTTGATAATTGCCCCCCTTGGTCTCCCCTTACCTCAGGTGTGTTCAGGTTGCCCCTTTAATCACACTGCTTTCGCTAGTTTTTTGATGTGGACGAAGGAGTAAGGAGTGGAATTACCCAACTACTAGGAATGTCACACGGTCCAAGTACGCCTGAGGAAGGTGCCATGCAGGGGGGCACCATCCCGCTGTGTCAGGGAGGAGGAAAGCCCAGGCACCCGGGTGGGGCTGCAGGCGGCCGTTCCAGGCTTTCCTGCTTCCCGAGCCGTGCTCGGACCCCACACCTGCAGACGGTGACGGAGACGGTGGGCCTCAATACAACACCACCACCTGTTGTATTGAGGCCCCACTCAGTTCTGAGCGATTCGCAGGTGTTACTGCATTTAATCCTCATAATACTGCAAGGTGCGTGCTACTGTCATCCCTTTATACAGATGTGAAAACTAAGACTCAGAGAGGGTCAGTGACTTGCCTGTGGCCACCAGGCTAGTAAGTGTGAGGATCAGCAGTTGAATCCATCACTGTCTAACTCCAGAGACGCTCTTAGCATCCCAGTACACTGTCCCTACAGACTGTCCCTCTCCAATCCCTTAGCGTCCCAATACACTGTCCCTACAGACTGTCCCTCTCCAATCCCTTAGCGTCCCAG